GATCCATTTTGGAAGAAGTGCAGCCAGAGTGCTCCTTGAAGACCAAGATGGCCAAATTTCCTCTCTCATACTTCGGACATATTGTCAGGAGGGACCAGTCACTGGAGAAGGGTATCATGCTTGGTAAGGTGGAGGGTCAGAGAAAAAGAGGAAGACCCAGAATGAGATGGATTGACCAAGTGGCAGCATCAATGGGCTCAAGCGTGGCAACAGTAGTGAGGTTGGCCCAGGATCGGACAGTGTTTCGTTCTGCTGTACATAGATTGCTATGGGTCAGTACCGACTCGATGGCACCTAACACCAACAACAACATCTTTCCACATGGTGACCTGGTTTGGCACCACCATATGATAAGCACGAAACTGCTAACTGCAAGGCTGACAGTTCAAACCCACCAGCTGCTGCTCAGAAACTCTACACAGAGTTGCTATGAGTCAGAACCGACTTGAAGGCAGTTAACAATATATTTCCATAAAGGAGTCTTTGGGTGACAAAAATGGTGAAACAGTTACCCACTAGGCGAAAGGTTAGCCGTTCAAACCCACTGAGAGGCACCTCAGGGAGAAAGTTTTGAAGTTCCTATAGAGCTGGTTCTACTCTGCAGAATCCAATCGAAGGTAACAACAAACATTTAAAGAGCAATTTGACAATTCACACATGCGCACCAAAACAAATGGGCTCCTTCCGTAAGCCAATCCCAATTTCTAGCCACCCTACAGGGGCGCTAGTACCATAGGGGGCCACAAGCTGGACTGCTGAAACCAAAGTCAGCAGTTCAGATCTACCAGTTTCTCTGTGGGAGAAAGATGAGGCTTTCTGCTCCCATAAAGATTTACAACCTTGGAAACCCTGTATAGGGTTGCTATGAGTTGGAACCAAGTGACTGGCACACAGCCACCACCACCAGCAGCAGCAGCAGCCTTATATATAGGACAGAGTTGTTAAGTGTCGTCTCATAGCAACCTTGTATAGGGTTTCCAAGGAGCAGCTGGTAAGTGTGAACCTCTGATCCGGCTGCTCAAACTGACCTTGCAGGCCAGTACTTATGCTACAGTGCCCCAGCAGACTCCCCAGGACACAGCCGAGCGGAGCTGCCCTGTAGGGTCTCCCAGGCCACCAGGCTTCACAGAGCAGACTTGTCGCCTTTCTTACAGTGAAGCAGCTGGAGGATGGCCAGCACTTAAGGCAAGCGTGCCACCCCTTTGAGACATCTGGCTGGGGCCAACCAATACTCACAGTATAGATCTCTGGTCCGCTTGGAGGTCTGGCACACCTGCTCGCAGACTGCATTCTAATCCTGAAGCTATTAGAAATTACATCCCACTTTAAACTTCAGTTCCAAATTGTCTTCTGCTAGCATGTTGTTGTTGTGAAGTGCTGCCAGCAGGTCAGTTCCGACCCACAGCGACCCTGGATGGGGTTTCCAAAGAGCAGCTGGTGAGCTTGAACCCCCGACCTTGTGCTTCAAACTGACTGTAGTCCAGCGCACTAACCCACACAAAGGTAAGTCAAAAAGTATTGCTACAAGATCACAGGCACCTTTATTAAACAAAACTACCAAGTTGTAAAGCTCCCGTTTCTCGACAGATCCTCCGTCTAGGTCTGAGCAGGGCACGGCTCCCACCTCTGTAACGCTGGGGAACTCTCCTCTTCAGTTTACACCACGTCATAACGGCACTTTCAGCTTCCTTGAGGAGCTCACACCATGGCCCTTCAAGTGCTCTTTGAGTTCAGGGAACAAAAAAACACATATCAAGGCACAAGATCAGGGTGGGAGCAGGGATTGCGTACGGTTCCACAATGGCA